AATATTGAGGACTTTCCTTGGCCAGCGCGGCAACTTTCGCATTTCTACAAGCACGCCACTACGCTGCACGACGCAGACAAACGCAAACAGCGGAATAGACGGGCTGATCCAGACAAACACGGACGCAGACACAGACACAGACACAGACACAGACACAGACACAGACACAGACACAGACACAGGCACGGACACGGACACGGATACGGACACGGGCACGGACACGGACATGGGCACGGACAGTGTTTTGTGGTCACGTCTGGAGCGCTGACGCCGCTGCGATGGTGGTCGGCAGCTGGTCGCAGATATTGAGCCATTTGTTGGAGGTCGAGTTCGGAGGCTGTCAGAAGCACCGGCCTGGCCTCACTGAGGGTGTCCGCAGCGGCCGCGAACGCCGGCAAAATTGAGTTTTGACGCGCTCTCAGTGCCGCGGGCGGCTCGTTTGCCGGCCGGGGGTAATAACTGGCCGTCAGGGGAGACAGCTGGACCGGGTGAGCAGCGTGAGCCAGACGGCAGCTGGCCAGCAGCTGGCCAGCTGTCAGACATCACCATACACCGCTGCCTAGAGTATAGAGACCAGCGGGCTTGAGTTGATACGCAGGACTCGCAGGAGCTGAGGGCTTATGGCTGTGTATAAGGGTGACAGTTATTTTCTGATTTTTTGAAAAAGCAAAAACGCAGTTCATTTTATGGTTCCATATAGCATAAAAACATCACATGCAAAGTTTCATCCGGATCGGATTATATTTAACCGTGCCTCCTCGAACTTGAATGTGTACGCTTTTAGCCATTGGGCCAGCAGTGTAGACTTTTCTGGTATGTAATCCACAAGCAGTGTTTCTCAGCTATTCATAACGATGCAATCATAAAACAAAAGACTGTGGTACACGAAAACTAGTGATGTATTGTAAAACGATTAAAAAAAAACTGAGATAAGACTCAACGCGTCTTGTGGCAGTTGGCAATCTTGGACCTCCTGAAAAATCTGAGCATCTGCGTCGAATGCTATCGCTCATTACTGCAGATGCCGGGTGACGGTGCCTTTGCTAGCGTTTGGGAACCTTCCACGGTGTGCCTCCACCACCTGCAGGATGTACTGCCTCTGGTCATCATCCTTGGCGAGGGTCAAATTGTACGTTTCCATCAGAGCGACGCCACGCTCGGCGAAGTCGTTCACCACCGTGATGCCGTTGGCCTTCCCCGCTGCGGGGACATAGCTGGGGTCGTCATGCCACTCGGCAGGGTCGGTCTCGAGGAAGCCGTCGTCAATTCCAAAAGTGACGAAGAACGTCCGCGACGATGTGGATACGAAGGCTGCGCGGGTGTTCTGCGTCAGGTCTGCGCTGAGATCAACGACGGCCCGCTTGGTAAAAGTCCTACGAGCCCTCGTTCGAGGCAAGGGCCTCAACAATGGCCCGCTTTCCATGCAGTGGTAGGCTCTCGTCAAAGAACGCCAACGGGACTAGGCTCTCACTCAGATACCACAAGTGACGTCGGGCGAAGCTGCTAAGGAGCGTCTTGGCGAGGGACTTGTCCTTTTACCAGGCCAACGTCTTCAGAAGGGAGAGGTCGTTCTTAGGAGGGTTCCGTCAGAAGGGAGAGGTCGTTCTTGGTCGTTGATTCGTCAAGTTTGCCGTGTCGGTCTACATTCCCGCGTGGTACACCGCGCCGAGCCCTACATCGGCCCCTAAGAACGACCTCTCCCTTCTGAAGACGTTGGCCGGGTACGAGGACAAGTCCCTCGCCAAGACGCTCCTCAGCGGCTTCGCCCGACGTCACTTGTGGTATCTGAGTGACGGCCTCATCCCGTTGGCGTTCTTTGACGAGAGCCTACCACTGCATGGAAAGCGGGCCATTGTTGAGGCCCTCGCCTCGAACGAGGGCTCGTAGGACTTTTACCAAGCGGGCCGTCGTTGATCTCAGCACAAACCTGACGCAGAAGACCCTCGCAAACTTCGTGACCACATCGTCGCGGACGTTCTTCGTCACTCTTGGAATTGACGACAGCTTCCTCGAGCCCGACCCTGCCGAGTGGCATGACGACCACCGCTATGTCGCCGCAGCGGGGAAGGCCAACGGCATCACGGTGGTGAACGACTTCGCCGAGCGTGGCGTCGCTCTGATGGAAACGTACAATTTGACCCTCGCCAAGGATGATGACCAGAGGCAGTACATCTGCAGGTGGTGGAGGCACACCGTGGAAGGTTTCCAAACGCTAGCAAAGGCACCGTCACCCGGCATCTGCAGTAATGAGCGATAGCATTCGACGCAGATGCTCAGATTTTTCAGGAGGTCCAAGATTGCCAACTGCCACAAGACGCGTTGAGTCTTATCTCAGTTTTTTTTTATCGTTTTACAATACATCACTAGTTTTCATGTACCACAGTCTTTTGTTTTATTATTCCATCGTTATGAATAGCTGAGAAACTCTGCTTACGGTTTACATACCAGGAGGGTCTACACTGCTGGCACAATGGCTAAAAACGTATACATTCAAGCTCGAGGAGGCACGGTTAAATATAATCCAATCCGGATGAAACTTTGCATGTGATGTTTTTATGCTATATGGAACCATAAAATGAACTGCCTTTTTGCTTTTTCAAAAAATCAGAAAATAACTGTCACCCTACTGTGTATGTGCGCAAATACTTTTTGGTATTCATCTGTGCGCATCTTTGTACATACTTAACAAATCACTTATCAGTAATAAGCTCCTTATTTCTTTTTCAACAGTTGTTTCGATTCCACAACGCTAGGACACGTCTTCGCACTTTCCCGTCTGCTTTAATAACGCTGCAAATTAGGCTAGGCACTTCTATGCATTCTCTAATTAACTGCCGTGTGTCTGTGTTCCCCAGTCACAATGCCGCCGGGTGGCTGCGGCGCCGTCCCGTCTCGGCCCACTGGCATTTGTCCGTCTCCGCGGCGGCCGCCGCCGGTACCTGCCACCAGCAGTACCCCAACTGCTCGCGCCTTCCGGACGAGTACCGGTACCCGGACAGCGTCGGTACCCCAGCCGGCGGTACACACCTGCGGGTCAACTATCGACCCGTGCTGGAGTTCGTCTCTGATACCGTGCAGCGTTATCTCTGACCTGCAGCGCTGTCTTTTACGCGCAGTGTTACCTGTATCGGCAATACACGTTACTGTGTCGGCGAGGAGCAGGCGATCGTTCTCACACGTGATTGATGATGTCATTAGCCGGGCTTGTCATTTGATGGCAGTGGCCGTCGGAGGCTATCACTGAACACGGCCTTCATAATATACCGAGCAGAATGACTCTCGGAAACCGATTTCTCTGTCGGATATGCCAGTATCAATTTCATGCGGCTATTTGAGGGTAAAGATCCAACTTGCTTTATGGTGGCTATCTTAGTTATGACACTTTGGCGGGACTAATACAATCCAAGTTATGAAATTGGACATCGTTAAGCGCCGCTAGTGAAGTACATAACTGCCTCGTCCTGGCAGAAAGACTGATGTGTTGCTGCATGTCTTATTAGATAAGGTGTTACGTGGAGAACATTATCATGCGATCAAAATGTGCGTTTCGAAGTAAAATGAAATGTTAATAGCTTCTATAGTTACAAAATAAATCTTTTCAAATTTTATAGCATTAAAGATACCTTAACGTTAAAATTAATTTATATAAAAAACACCGAGCTGGGGCCTAGTTATCTGTTGTATGTTGATTGAACAGAATCAGCGAAGCGTAGCGCATGATGGCAGACTTTTGCCGTGAGAGACAGATTTGCCGAGAGAGAGAGAGAGAGAGAGAGAGAGAGAGAGAGAGAGAGAGAGAGAGAGAGAGAGAAAAAAAAAAGAAAGAGAGAGTTAAAGAAGCATTACGTAGAATGGGAGACAAAATACCAATGAAGAAGATATAGAACGTAAGCACTCAGCAATTGATTTCTGCAGCTCGCTCATACCCAAATGTATCAAGGCTTCGTAGCTCACTGCTTTGACCAAAACTATGATCATCGTTCGTAAGAGCATTAGTCGATTTCCTGATGGGAAACGAATTTCCAATCCTTGGAGCGCGTATCTAAAAGCAATTTATTACCGTATCAACTCGACGGAGCTGCACGCTAAACAATCCTATCTGACGGCACCCCACGGGCAGAAAATGCCTCCGATAAGTGTTCGTTCTATTCCACCACAAATTTGGAACAGAAGAACACATGTTGGGAGAGTTCAATGAAATAAACTAATGCAAACATTGTCGCATTGTCTCAAACACCTATGAGATTAATTTACACAGTTTGTTGCATTTTTGAAGCATGCCTTCTCATTTTTGTAACTCTGTAGTAATATTTTTTGCACTTCTCTGATCTTATCCATCCCTGCCCTACAAGTTCAACTCTGCAAATATATGAAAAAAAGAAAAAAAGATTGAAGATAAACGTCAAGCCTGTCGACGTCCTTTCACACAGGCGCAATGTAAAGAACAGTGGTTCTGAGTGCAAATGGCGACGGCTGGGTCCCATTTCAAAGCATCGCGCGGTCACGCTCTGGTGTTATTCCTCATGAACGTTTGTGAAATAATGATACTTCTGCTATACAATAAACATGAACACAGACTTTGGCCCAGGCTACAGCGGACGATTGCACAAATTGTGACGAAAGCGTTACACCGAAATAGCAAAGGAGACTAATTTCTGTTGGGCCTCCAGCTATCACTGTTGGGCCTCAATGTTTGCATCTTTTTTGTACTCATTTTTGTGTGTCTCCATTCTCCAATACCCATAGACTATCCGATATCCATCGTATTCATCGCATAAAATGTTTACTTACAGATCATCAGCATAAAGACCTTGGAACTTTATGCTTTTATTGACAACTTTTATTGATTATCAAAAGCCTAACCTAATATACACATTACACAGTCAGCTGTAATGGCCCGATTATACTAGCGAATATATAACTCACACCTAATGAAACCACTAAACACGCTTCTGACATTGCTGCGCAGCCCGGGCGGAGCCCGTCCGTTGCAGAGTGCTTCAGCGTCCCCCGGGCACCACCACAACCAGCATCGACATCGAGTTAGAGTTCGACTCGGCGTTGTTGGCATTCACGTTCACATTGTCGTTGTTGTCGTTGTTATTGTTGTTGTTGTTATTGTTGATGTTATTCAGCGTGTTGACGATGGCGTTGAAGACCAGCAGGATCGTCGTCAGCAGGCTATAGGTGTTGAAGCCGAGAAAGCCAGTGCCTGGACAGCGCACAGACCGTTTCTGTCGGTCGTCTTCTCCTGCTTTCTGTGAAGTCCTAAGGTATTCGTCCCTCAGTTCAGTCACCATCGCGTGGCGAAGTGACGCCAGTGAGACATCCAGTGCCAGTATCTGATCCGGAGACAGTCCTCCGTCCGTCGTCCCCGCCGTCAGAGAGTGACCTGACCTCTGACCTGAGGTCAGCTCGGCGGCACAGGTCAGCGCCAACAGCGCCCACAGCGCCGCAGCCATGAGACGCCAGCCGACTGAGCGCCCTCAGTCGGACCGAGCGGGCGCCAGGTGCAGTGCACCGCGCACCGAACCGAACCGTTACCCGGCCACGGAGCTGCTGTGTGCCCCCGGCCGAGACTACGGCTGATGATGGCAGGTATAAACATTAACCCTCGCCCTGGCAGGGCATTTTTCATAACACGGCCTGGCAGGGGGGGCGTCGATGCGACCCTCCCCCCCTCGCGATTGGCTCCTATGGCACCTAGAAACACCAAATTTGGTAGGTAGGTGGGTTTCTTGAAGTTCTCGCCCCTGTGCAAATTTGGTTGCTCTAGGTCAATATTTAGGGGGGTTTTGGGGGTTATAAATGTAAAAATTTCGCTAAAAACATGTCAAAAGTTTTCGCTTATAACTTTTGATCTATTTAAGATAGAACAAAAAGCACCAATGAACTCAGCACGTCAAGGCGCGTCGAATGGTATACTTTTTAGTTTGCTTAAGTGTACTTAAAGTTTTCCTTAAATTTTAAGTGAACTTTAATTAATTAATTAAGCTCAACTTAACCAAATTGCGTCATATCGCATATGATTCGATTCGGCTGATCACAAGGAACACAATGACATCATTTTTTAAGCTCTAGCTTCATTATGTGCCAAGTTATTGGCAAAAACGTCATTTGACCTCGGTTGACCTCATTTGACCTGACCCATGGATAAGTACACCAAACAAAGAAGCACCAAGTGACCTGCTGTTAAGTACTGTGGTTTCAAAGCACAAAAGTGATAGAACGAAGTGGATATCTCCAGTATTTTCCGAATTTAGTATTTTCCCATAGGCTTAACATTATGACGTAATGACCTCTAACTGACCTCAGGTCAGTGACATTAAAAAACCCGAACTATATGTTATACAACTCGGTGAACTTAGCACACCTTGAAAGTTTGAAGGAAATCAGTCAAAAACTGCGAGTTGGACAGGTGCAAACAGAAAGTTGAAATTTGACCATGACCTTGTACCGGTTTTTCTGACCTGGTGACCTGACCCAAGGTCAACCGGACCTGAAATTTTCAGGTCATATGTAAAAAGTTTGCCCCATAGGCTGTGCTAAATTTGGCGGCGCTGCGCGCCGCCGTTTTTACGCTATCTTCGAAAAACCTTAGGGGGGGTCGCATCGACCCCCTGCCAGGGCGAGGGTTAAGCAGATAGCACAAACAACAGAGCGTAAAAAGTCCCGTAAAACAACCGATTCAACTGGCAACTTGCAGCTCGTTTATATGTTATCGTGAGTTAACTCCGTCATTTACAATGATATGATGACAAACAATAGCAGACAAGACAAAGCATGATTTTACCAGACATCAAAAGCTTTCATCAGCAGTGCACGTCGCTTGCATCAGCCCACATTGCATCCGTGATAGCGCCTGCCACTGTGCGCCATCACCCCAGCTGACGTACAACGGCGGCACCTCAAAATACCTCCCGGCAAAACTCCGCATCGCTCGACACTGAGCACGCTGACGGCACGCTCCCTGCGCCGTCAGGAGCCGCGGGAGCTGGCTCCGCAGCTCCGCGGAGCGCTGCACCAGGAGCCGCCGGAGCCGACAGGAGCCGTCCGGAGCCGAGCGGCGTCGGCGGCCCACCAGTGGCGGAATGATCACCATGATCTGATTACCGTTGGCAGAGTTGGTCGCCACATTGTTGCTGTTGGAGTTGATGTTGTCGTTGTTGTTGTTATTGTTGTTGCGGTTGTTGTTGTTGATGTTGTTGATGACGTTGGCCACGGCGTTGAAGGCGAGCAGCATGAAGGTGAGGAAGTTGTACGTGTTGAAGCCGAAGAGACCCGTCTGGCAGCTGCGTTTCTGTCTGCGGTGAGCGTCAGCAGCGGTTTCGGAAGGCGCGGCAGCATGCAGCTGGTCAGAGACACTCGAAGACAGCCACTGCCGTGACAGCTCCGACAGCTGGAGGTCCAGCTGCCGAAGTCGCCAGTCGTCTGAGCTCTCTGCCTCACTGGTGTGCGGAAGAAGACCTCCGCTGCTTCCTGTTTCCACCGGATTGTGGGACTGCAGCTCCGCCACAGACATAGTAGTTGTAACACCAGCTCGACTCCCACCGTCTTGCCACTCTAGTCCACAGAAAACCTACATCTCAGCCGGGCCGTTTACCGAAACCCATGGTAGCAAACTGCAACAGTTCTGCGGGTCGTCACCCTTGTCGGTCGACTTGTTCCATGCCGGAGCCTGGCAGCGAAGCAGCCCACCGTGAACCACAAATCGTCGGGCGGGGACGGCAGCGAATCACAGCGAACCACAGCGAACCACAGCGAACCGTGACGAACCGGAACGGCCACCTGTCGGTCCAGCGCACATGGTCCGGCGCCGGCGGCGTCACAAGTGCCTCAGCGGCGCCCTGAGACGTCGCCATGGGGTGTCTGCGCAGCCTGTTCGCCTGCTGGTTCAAGATCAAGTGTCCGCGACTGTGGTGCTGTTACGAGTGCTGCTGTGGTGAGGACGACGACGACAAGGAGAGGGAGAGGAGTGAGGACGAGTGAAGAAGCGAGGAAAAAGGAGTGGAGAGCTTAAAAGTTTTATGATAAAAGCAAAAAAGAAGAATACAAAAAGAGACGGGATCAGAAAAAAAAACGAAGAAAGGAATTGAAAGCGAGGAAGAGAAAGGATACGATTATATGTATAATAACACGAAGACGGACAATTTAGAAAAACAAACGACAAAGTACTCATTGGGCAAAGGCCAATGCAACTCAAGTTATTTTGAACGGTGAAGGAAAAGTGAGAAGTGGACAGTATTTCAATGCAAGCAGTAATTTCTGCCACTGCTTGGCTACCAAACGGGCCAGGCGGAGCTCTTTCAGAGAACGCTTTTATGTCCAAGCCCAGCGATTTCAGAAGCCACATACCGAACTTCCATCCATCGTCCTATGCATCACTTACCGGCCATTCACATGCAGAAGAATTAATTCCGCACATACCCATTCAAGACTCGGGATCAGTAGTCAAACCCAGCACACGAACGGATCGGCACAGATGGAAGAGACAGGCCATGGACCTGGATTCCATTGGCGATGGATACGCCAACTTTATGGGAGGTCAGAGCAGGTAGGAACAACTAACACTTACTTATGGTGTGTTTGGCAGCATCTAAGTTATTTTCGAAGGAACCATATATGTATTTGTGTCACTTCCTATTGCTTTTAGAGCAGCTTTTTAGGATTACTGCTGTCCTGGTAGTTTCAGAACAGAGCGCAGTTTCGTAGATATTACGGTGGCAAACATATCATTACCGTTTGAATTAAATTAGCAATAATTGCAGTTAGTAATTATGTATTATTCACAACCACAAAAAGATGCAAGTCTTACCAATATTTTCAGAGCGCATTGGCAATGTTTACGGCACACGGCTTAGTGTAGCTGTAACGCTAACCGGAGCTGAAGCCCATCACGCGGTCAGATTCATTGTGACCTGTGGTGCGTGTCAGATGATGGGCCCATAACGCCTCCATAGCCCGTAATCCACGACAGGCATGTTTACCTAAAGCCGTGCGAACGTCAGCCGGCAGTGGAAGACCCCATTACCTAATCACCATAAATTAGCCATCACGGAGCGGCCGGCGCGCGTCCCGCCCGCGCCCGTCGAACGACCGGAGTGCGTTCGGGCTGCTGCGAGCGACGCCGAGGTCCGCTCTGTGTGTTTTGTTCACGATACTGGTGACAAATTTAGCAGGATGGAGCCTGACAGCGCCCGTGTAATGCAGTAATGGCGGATCTAAATGACGGCAGTCGGGGTACGGCTTCCACCTGTCATTGCTCCCATATCAGACAAGAAATAAATGTCTCGGTAAATTTGCCGCTCCGTGTCTGAAAAGCGCACTCGCTCTATCGCTTTTCCCAGCCTTACCCTAGTCACGATTATTTCACATTTATCATCAGGGTAGTTCAGCAAACTCTCAGCGCCAGTTAGGTTATTGATATACGAGTACCCTGTCAAGAGGTGGTGAAGCTCCCACATAAGATCACAAAAGAAATTCTAATTTATACTTCAGGCGTCTGGCGCGTTTTACACGACGGGATACATCAGGCTACAATAGGTACAGCCCTCTGCTCACTGCGTGGTAGGTTATAGTTGCTTCAGCGAAACCGGCCAATATCTCAAAGGCTCTGCTACCGAGTGCGCGGAAGTCCTGACGGAGGGACGCGCAATACCACACGACTTTGTTTGAACCCCTTGTTGACTAGACCCACCTCTCCGTGTCGCTACAATACACAGAAGTCTGTATTTTCCGCCCTGAGACTAAGTTTTTTTGCCCCCCTCCTAGAACCGTCCCTGCCATGCCTTCAATGAGCTCAGCTGACAGCCGCTTACTACGGAATGGTAGTGCGAGTTGGGTGCGTAAACAGGCATGAGTCGGTGACCAGCGCAGAGGCTAAACCGGTCGGCGGGCCAGTCGGCCGGTTCCGTGGGGCAGGGAGGTGGACGCGGGCCGGGGTCACTCGGGTCAATAGCCCGAAGCTATGTCTCGGCCAGAAGCCGATCCAGACAGTCTGGCGCGACCCGACCAGGCCGTTCTAAAGCACAGGGACTAGGAATAAATTAGCCATTTTCAGGATTGTTAAAGGTTGGTGTCAAGGTTGGTGTCAAGGTCACGTGAAACTCAGGTTAGGTCATTGAACTTCGGTGACCTTGATTCACTTTTCGAGTTTTACACGTGTCTAGGACAGTTTTTGGAACTCATTTAGAATTTAGCATCCATTTGAACATTTAAGAAGCAGTTTTGGTGCCTTTGTAACATGTTGCGGAGCTGTGAGTGGCAGTTGACACCTACTATAGATACCCGGCAAGAACCTACTGGTTGACCTGACCTGACCTGACCCGACCTGGCCTAAATGCGTGAAGATTTGATCAAACCTAACATGATATTTGTGATTAGCACCCCGAAAAAACCTAGCAGCCACACTTTACGACGTTCTAACTTCTAACAGTTTCCATTGTTCCGATTTTTGGGGTCATTGACCTGACCTGGAAGGTCAACGTATGATCTAGGACCTTAAAAATAGACATTTTTTGTTTCCTCTCGTCACCAACAACACGCTCGTTTTTTCCGTGAAGCTCTAAGTCCATCAGAGGCCAAACGGCAAGGGGTATCCAACGAACCCCCCCCCCCCTCCCCTATACGTTCATGGCTGGCTAAACAACAATACGGGCGAGGGTTAACTCAGTCTATGGGCCACGTAGCAACACACGGTAAGCGACATTTGAAACAACGTTCAAAATCAAGACGAAAATAATTCGATCAGTTTATAGGTCAGGTTAACGGTTAGGTCACCAGATGTCAACAAAGGTAAAGTGGTGCATATTTAAACATTTTCTGAAACACCGGCGCATAACTTAAATGAACCAATATTGATGCAGTGCCGTAGAAAAGCGCGTTCGATAGACCTTTAAACACTTTTGACTCAAGCAAGGAACGAACAAGTTCAAGGTCATGACCTGTCCGGAAGAGGTCATGTTGCGCATCAGTCAATGCGCATCGTCGACCTAAGCACATCGAAGATGTTTTCATCGCTCTAATCAAAGGCAAAATCCGCCGGGGACCTTTCATGACATGCGATGGCCTCGGGGACATAAGTAATTAAGGTTCCCATGTGCTATTGTCTTATTCAGTGTGTCAAGTTTCTGGTGTCATGATATTTGAGTGTTTAGAATACCGTTTGTCTTGTAATACGTATTTCAATTTTCTCCAACTGACCAAAAATAGAGAGGTTGCAGATTGTCCTAAACTTAGCTCAGCGATATCAAAATTACGAAATTAACATTTAATGCACATCGCTCTTATCAATCGCTCAAAGTTTCAAGGCGATCGTTCAGTCAATGTGGCTATGACGAACATTTTAATTTTTTCTGAGGCGAGGTCACTTTACGTGACCTACCTGGTGACCTGACCTTGAGAGGCATGGGCTGGAAACTTTCACAGTATGTGCGGGAAACTTGCATTAAGAGGTGTGGCGAAAACGGTTTTGCTCTGCGCTGCCGTTTTTTTTTTTTACTCAATATCTGCGAAAAACGCAGGATACGTCCAACCCCCCAACCCCCTTTCCCCAGCGCTGGTAAGATATGTAATAATCTATATCCTTTTGAAAGACCTTTACTATAGGTCTTTCGAAAGCTCTATACATACTTAAGGAAAAGAATTTGAGCACCCTTAACTTTTCACATGGCACGTGCCACGACAGACGCGTTTAGTTTATAAATATACAGGGCTGCGGAGTCGGAGTGGGAGTCGAAGCCGAAGTCGGAATCGGTTGGAGTCGACAGCTGTGACCGGAGTCGCAGTCGGAGTCGTAGTCGATTTTGGAAACCGAGACCGGAGTCGGAGTCACCGAAAATCTGCCGCCTCCTCGGCCCTGCCAGGTGTGCGGAGCCGGAGTCGTAGTCAGTCCTAAAAAATTCATCGACTCCGCAGCCCTGTCAATAGAAGTTAATTACGGCGTAGAAGGGATATTAGGCTGCCCAGCAAAAAAAAAGAAAGAAAAAAACAGACCGCAGGTCAATCAGCCCAGTGGTTGCTTTTATATAAACCTCTCAAAATCGTTACAGGTCGGGCCGCTCATACTAAGATTTTTTTCCGTTTTAGTGAAAATACTTTGCTTCGCCCGTTAGCTCATAATCAGCAGACACCACCTCAAAAACACCAACCACCCTGGCCGTAACGCCGGCGTCCCGCACACCCTGCCGGCCCCGAGGGCACGCCGCGACCCGTCTCGGGTCAACTGGGGTAGGGGATGGGGAGAGGTCCGAAGTCCAGCTGTGATCCGCAGCTCAGGTGACCATCATTGTGCCCCGGCGGCCAGTTTCTGTGAACTTTGACCTACCGCTGGATACCCGAGGGCTCCCCTCCCCTATCAGCCGTAGTGAATAGCCTCTACCCAGGCAGTGCGAGCTATCATAACAAACGTGCGTATCTGGGCAGCGTGCGTAAAACTCCGACCTCCCCTCGCCAGGCTCAATTTGGACTTTCCCATTGGAAGTGGCGCAGTCAGGCTCAATCTGATTCGGGGCAGAGCAAATAGCTGAAAATTAACATTTTCCCTGATATCTGGAAATATAGGGAGCTTTCAAACGTGCCACTTTTAGAACGGATGCAAAAAGTTGTTGTGGACATTTCCAGAGTATCATTATGCATCTCCGTCGCTTTAAGTAAGAACGTAGGTCGATATTGCTGTGTGTAACGTATACCTACCACGCAGTGAGCAGAGGGCTGTACTTACCTGATGTTTATACATTTGTAACCTGGTATCGGAAACTGCGGGCTTCTTGGCCCGTGACTTCTTGGCAAGGTATCAATTGGTGGCCGGGGTACGTCTTAACTGTATTTGTATCATTTCGGACGACTTACACTTGTCCACTTTACGTTATGAAAATCGTAAATAAACAGAGCATTAACCCCAAAAAGCATTAAATAAGCACACAAAAATAGATAATGCACAGTGCACACAGTATAGTTAGCAATAGCATGCATAATATTATAGCAGCTTCAATCAAAGCAGACAATCAACGCGGAAATCTCCCCGATTAAGCATCCTGGCATGACAGCTCCCCTCAGCATGGTAGGGAACAGAGACCTCCTCACGAGGAGGTGTCGGCCGAGAGAGGCCAGCCAGCAGTCGGCAATGGCGCACTCTCATTGGTAGCCCGTGACCCGGCGAAGGTCACCAGATTGGAGTTGCTGGTTTACCGACAAAAGTTCACTAAATGAGCCTCAGCTTTGACGGGAGGGCTCTCTTAAAATGTTTGGAAGTTAATTGAATATGCTCGTATTTTCTCCCAAGTTCCCGACCATGTTGCTAACCTTGAATCTCTGAGTGTATAAGTAGCCCCCGGGTGAAGGCCCTATCCTCTTGGTTCTTTTTGTATACTGGGGTATACATCGTCTTAAGTCTATATCTACGGAATTCACTAGTGGCTAGGCTATTTCATGGCCATGCGTTGCATTCTTCATGCCATGGTCCGCCACCTGGTGGCTGAATTTATATCCTCAAGTTGAATTTGTTGACGCCTCAGCGCTTCAATCTTCCCGGTATCTCGGCGGTCGCAGAATAGAGGTACGTCTCCTAATTATTTTCCCGTTATTTCTTTTTAAGAGTATGACTCATCGAAAACTGTTGTTTTGCTAACATAACCATTCGTTGTTGATCATTGCTTGCAGGTTTTGTAAACAAAATTGTGTGTTTGAAACTTTTCCAGACAGAATTAAAGTTCATGTATACTAAGGTATACAAATGTCCTTGGCCCGAAAATTTTTGAAGTGTGCTTAAGAAGTAGCACTACAATTATTGGGAGGAATTGACCTCTGAAAAAATAAATGTACACCCGAGTGACCAACGGGATCCTGCACGACGGAGAATTGTAAACGTCAGTATACAACGGACTGTGCCTAGGACTAGTCATGTATACTGTAGTATACATGGTTGCTGGGTTAGTTAAAGCCATTTTTTGTGGCTCACAAACAACATTATGCCTTCAAGCTGCTCTGTGGTTGAGCGTTGACATTCTTCGAATCGTTGGCGACCTCAATGACCGTAGATCCTCACTCAAAGTTTTATAAATCGCCCGATGAATTAGAATCCGACCCCTAAGCACAATGACATAGGCAAGCACCTCTCTAAAACACACCATACGGCGATTTTTTTTAGATGTCGCTTCAGATAATGCTGCAAGGTCTTCCTCTACTATTTATCGATTCGCAACAGGTGCTACAAGTTCTATACCTATCTTCAAAGGAAATGGCAACTAAAGACTTAAGAGCAGTGGGCAAGGGGCAGAAGAAGCGGAAGTTAAGGGCGAGCGGTGTTGATAATTAAACGTGTCAATACTATTAGCCATTTTACGCCCTACACAAACGAAAAAATACACTTTGGTGATTGTATGGAAGTTTTCATGGGTTGCCTTTCAGTCAGATTTTATAGGCTTTGAGTATTTTTGTATATCCCAGTATACATGTCATTGCGCATGCGCGATGACCTTCACGGCTGAAATGTCACCAATCTGGTCATTATTGGCACCAAAGCTCTCAGCCAAAAAAGTTTCGTTGTTCTCCATTCATGGGCTAATTGGCGGGACTCAAGAGGCTATAATTGATTCCGAGGCCGGAATTGTGGTGGGAAATTACGATCACCATTCCCACCCTACCTGGCGTCTGACACGCTCGGTGGTACGGAACTTCCTTCTAAACACACAGGAAATCTTACCATGGATTAGGCATTACCTAGTAATCTATGCAACTATTACACATACTTATTCCCGCTGAAACGCCACTAAGCACTCTGTCAGATCGTTGTAACCGACTGTACCCAATGCTGAAAGGATCGGTCCTTATCAAAATCAGGATCATCGTCGTCATGGTTAATTACCTAATCAATCAACTGTTAGCAGTGCGACCATGCAATGAAAGGTTGGCATTTACCTTTCTTCTTGTCAGGGCTGCGTTGCTCATTGAATGTATGTTGCATGGCTATGACATGTCGCACATTCGGCTGTACAAAATGTCAGAGTGTGTCTAACTTCAGCATTGCTCAGAAGCCTGCCAGACAGGATGGCGCATTATTTTCAAACAGAAACTCATCATCTGCAGACACGTGCCAGCTTAGTCAAACCAGAAACTAAGGCTCTTTCGCTCAGCCCGCACGAGAAATGTCTCATCGCCTATGTAAGTACCCAACGACCCCATCCAGCGCTACTGCAAAGTCAGTGTAGTCTAACGGCGATCCCGAGTCGGAAACTCGCCAGCTAAGCTCCTTGCAGATATATAGCTCATTTTGAGATATGGTTCTGTTGAAAATATTGGCTACCGAGAAATCTGCAGCGTAATCAAGCCGGGCCTGATCCGTCGGAAACAGAATTGTTAGCTCCCCTGTTTTGTAGCGACGACATGAATTGAACTTAATCAAAGCTCTTGCATATTATGTTGCTTTGAATTTGCTGATCATCTGTGCCTTAGATGTACCTATTTCTTTCATGTATGCCTAACTATAATTCATTACCTATCCAGCTCTCTGAGAAAACTTCACATCAGCTTTGAAGCTGATATTCCGAGGATACCTATCGATGATACCGTTGAAGTGGCTCTGCTTTTCATCGATTATCTCCCACAACATTCAATGAAAGTCAAGTGCATTTCATCTAACACTTCGTTCTTGTTTTCAGTTCCGAGTCAACAAAGAAAATGCCCGTCCTTTTCGTCCCGAAAGACGATCCTACAGAATGCACTCCGACGCATCAAATGTCGTCATTTGGCTTCCTTAGGTGAGTTCGTTAACCTTTATTTTCCTCACAAATTGTGTTCGTATAAGAGTCTATACTGACATAGCCGATGAGAAGCCGCTCATTAGAGAAATTCATATTAAAAATTAACCCTGTTTCTCGATTTTTTTTCCATAATCAATATGCTGTTCACTGTTCACTGTTCTGCATACGCCATAAGCGATACACCAATGCAATGAGTGTCTATATTCTAATTGTTGCAAATTATCTTTTTTGTTCCAGTTTCATCATCGCCATCATCAACATAGTGGTCAACGTCGCCAACAACATCAACAACAATAACAACAACAATAATAACAATAACAACAATAACAACAACAACGACAACAATGTGAACGTGGCCAACAACAACAACAATCTGAACAACGAGAATGACGTCATGGTCGGGCGTCGACGTCAGCTGACGCTCCTGAGGAGTCTCAGGGACAAAATGGTGGCCCGCATTCGGTCTCGGGAACGTGCGGCAACCAATCGACTTCGCCGGTCTTCTGGAGTTGGTGCAACAAATACAGTATTGGGACGAGTGGGGTCACGTGGTAGGCTAGAGACCATTCTTAAATGGAAAACATCAATGGTCGGAGCCAGAGGTCAACTCAGGTCGGGACGTAGAGGTCGAAGTCAGATCAAGAGGAGAAGGAACGTTCGTGGTAGAGCGCATGACCCTGATCAGGTCACACTGCCACGTGCCCACCGCCGTCGTGTTCCGGATTACATGACCTCTGATGAGGTCACCTGGACGCTGGCCGCCGTTACTGAGGTTCTCCAGCTGTGGCGGGAGGTCACCGGAGAGGGGAGGACGCACTGCGTCGCCTGGCGGTTCTGTGTCAGTGCCGCCCTTCGGCTGCCGGCAGGGGCGGCGGCGGCGGCGGCGGTAGCCAGGGCGGGGGCGGCACGGCTGACCGCCGCCCTCAGGGATCTACCTGTGGAGACCCTCCAGCGGGCGTCCCGGCTGGGGGAGGCGGGGGCCAACTGCGATACCGTGTTCCCAAGGTGCGGCTGAACGAACGATGGCGACTGTTTTGTCCTTGATGGCTGCTGTGGTGAAGATTCGTCCTGTAAATGCAAATTTTGCAGGCTAGCTGACGGTGCTGTGAGGCTTGAGAAACGCACTTATGAAGGTCTAAAAAAAAAAACATTTCTGAGCGCAATAATTGACATTTTTAGGAGCTAAAGGCAACAAAGTCGTGATTAACTCAGTGACCATTCTGTGTTGTTCCACAATAAATGCGATATCATAATTGTTTTGTCTTTTCTGGTCATGAGATCAGGCAATTGATGGGTAAGACCCTGAATTGATGATGTTCAAGGTGCATGTATTGACGACATTGCTCTAACTGAAAGAGTAGCGTTTGTTAATTACCATCCCACTGAAATGTATAGCATCTGACAGACTGTGGTTCCTTGGTACGCATACAACAATCATCTCGGGCTATTCAGCGAATGAAATTCTTCATAAGTCAGGCAGTCCAGTGTCAGACAGTCCTCGCTATCAGTGGGCTGCAAATCTCCACAGCGAGATGAGCCGCTCTGCCGCCTGTAGTCGGCGTTACCAAAGCGACCCACAATATAATCCCAGCTCGGCGGCAACAGTTCTGCTCGCACCGACAGGCCAGAATTTCTGACCGTGCGTTGCTGGTGGCGAGCTGACAACTCCGACGCACTCTTATCATCGCCATAGCATATACCACCGCCCAAAGCTCCAATCCCACCACCAGCGCCGCCGCTCCTTCCCTCCTCTGTCCCACCATCTCACCCCTCTCCGTCGCTCTACCTCTGTCCCAAATCACCCCTCTCCCGAGCACCATTTAGCGCGAGCCCTCGACTTGGACCGGTGCCGACGGTGTCAGCCTGACGTGGCCCCTGGGTGTCGATAGCTGTTGTTCCCATCTGTGGCGACGAGCCGAGAGATGCCGTGGAGACAGGAACCGTGTTGGTATGCCAACTGAGATCACCGAGTCGGAGAGTTCGGTATCAAGCCGCGAACGGAGCGTAAAATGGCCTGAGCCGCTAAAGCCAGCCATACATTGGCGCGTATAGGCTCCAGCTGACAGCGGATAGGAGCCAGGTGATTTGGACATAAATCTAAATCGAAGGCTGCGACGGGAAGCCAGTTGTCGGGTGGGTAGACAGATTCATATTTGTAGCGACGCTACGTTTTGCAATAGGAGACGAAAGAAAAAGGTTCACTGAATTCAATAAGTGGGAATGCACAGTTGGTGCGCGTTCTATCGTCCAAGCCACTTGGTAAATATAAAGAGCTGATTGGGTTTTATAGCGTGACGTTTAACCGTAGCCGGGACCTAAAAACTCATCTGCATAACGAGGGCAGGACCATGTAGGACTAGCAATCCAGAAACTGCCGAATTAGCTACAGGTTTGCTGCTGGTGCGAAGTGGCACAACAGTGCCGGCAGATAATGAGTGCGGTAAATAACTAGGTACGGTACTATCTATTTAGTGAACAAATGCAAGCAAAGTCCTAGAAACAAATGACAGATGATGAGCAATTATAACGGGTCCGGTCACCCGCGTTGGGTTTCCCCCTGGCGCCTTTACAGGTCGTTGGCTGTGTCTGCCGCCGTTGACACGGTAATATTGCTCGGTGTTCGTCTGGTCTCCCTCCATTTAACGCTAAACAGAGCAACCCGCTCCTCCATCCATCACGCAAACAGTTAGCCGTTACGCCGGCACACAGGCTGTAGTTAGCTGCTCATCACGCTCGCTAAGGCGCGGAGACGGCGCTGCCATGCGCAGTAGCAAACATTTCATCTCCTCAAAAGGTGCCCAAATGTGCAGGGAACGGCCCGAGACAGCGGGACGGCAGACTTGTGGTTTACTGACACGGAGGAGAGGTAGGTGAGACGCAACCGGGCGTCACAGGATGACACGTGATCGTCACGCAGATTTGCGTAGTCGTGGCCGTGACAGGCAGTGCTCGCGCCTCAAGTGACGGCTCGCGCTCGTTACGTTGTCATTACGGAACGTTATGACAGCATTACGGGCTGTTAGAGATGTATTACAATGCACCACAACTGGAGAAGAGGTCGCTCTGCTCAGCCGCGTGGCATCCTGCCTGTCAGCGAGCTGCACGCTGATGTCCCGTGCCTGACCGAGCTCCGTGTAACGGCCGGCTCAACGGACTCCTTCCGGCGCCGCTGACGAACCGCGAGAGGTGGCACCACTCGGGGGCGTGTTGGGCAGGCCCCGATCCGTGACGACCCAGAGCAGAGAGCTGCACCGGCCAGTATGGCGCTGTCAGCTCTGCCAGCGGGGTCTCTGAGCTCTGGTATCTCGACTGGGTGGACTCCGTGGTCCGCCAGCCACCAGCTCACTGCCAGGTCAGGGCAGGTCAGGTCAGGGCGGTATAGTGACCTGGCACTGGGTCAGCTGCCAGCCGGGGAGTCCTGGGAACCCTCCCGCCGCCCCAGGTCGTTCGCCGCGGGCCGCCGGCCGCTGGTCGGTGTCCGCCGTCCCGTGGTGTCCCGGCGCCGTGGCCACGGCCCGCCGACAGCCGCGCCCCAGCCGCCCACCCCTACTACCAGCGCAGCGCCCCCGGTCGTCTGGTTTCCCGACCTCAGTGACGAGTGCGAGCCACCGGCCAAGTCCTCCAGCAGCTTCAACGCCTTCGGATTCCTCGCCTTCGTGCTGTCAGCGGTCAACCTGGTCAGTCTGCTCTCGTCGAACGTCAACAACAACATCAACAACAATAATAACAACAACAATAACAACGACAATAACGACATTAACACCAACGAAGACAATGCCAACACCAACCAGAACGTGTTGAACCAGGTGATGATCGCACCCGGACGCCGTCGCCGCGAGGCAGCTCTCAAAGACAACTCCACCCAAACCTGGCGCGCAAAGACCTCTGGTTTCTCAGGAGATCAAGTCAAACCGATCTCTGGATCGGAGGTAGACGAAGTCACCACCCAGTCGGACCCGAAGGAAGCCACTCTTCTCGTGGTGTACTCCGTGCTGGTGGCGTGGAGTGAGGCGGTGGTTACCGCTGACCGCTGCTGTGCTCTCAGGGCTGTCTGCGAGGCCGGGGACCAGGGCAGAGCGCTCGGCCGGTTGGGTCAAACGCTGGTGGACGTGTTCAGGTGAGAACGCCGCCGTTTGTCTGACGTGCTCAGGTGAGAAAGTCACCGCCTGTGACAGTATTCAGGCGAGAACACCATCTATGTTATTAACAGTAGCTCACGACATTCTGATATTATAACCCTGAACGTTATCCAATGCAATCATTGGCTGTCCAATCCTAATGACATAGTCCAGATTGGATGAATTCGGAGCCAAATTGAATCTGCTATCTCTGCATTCGACTGTCATCTGGAGGCGACAGATGCATTAATTATGGGCGAAATCAATACGCCCCCATGTATTGACGACTAGCACTGATTAATTTATCATGACCAACGATAAAATATATTAAAGGGACTATCCCACCTTCCAAAAAGTCCCGTTTAGGATTCGAAAATGTTACTCAGGGTATTGTGACGAATTCTGCAAGTTTTTACGCGTTTTCATACGCTACTTTTTGAGATATTGAGATTTTTATATTTCATCGTGACGTCATTTAGATCGGATCTGTGACGTAATGAAGGATTTACTTCATGCCAATGAGGGGGAAATTTGGCAGCAAATATATTTGCTTTCAAATATGACGCGGCTCATGCAATAACAAAAGTGTATCTGATTAGGCATTTTGTAGTTGGCAATATGATACCTTGATGATACCTAGTCAATTTAAGTCTGTTGGATAAAAACGATAGCCCGACTCGAATTATAAACAAAGTGCGAGATTTCCCCCGCGCCGATTTCAACTTAGTTATTCGTAAAACAGGTCGAACGCGTGAAACGGCTGATGACGTCATCAAATGGCCGTTAATAGTTCAGAGATAGGGCCTTACCTAAGGCCCACTTTTCAAATGAAGGGAACGAATTTCTTTAACACCACGAAACTGAGGATATTGCGACCAGGATATATAGTGGTTTCTGAACCTGGCCGTCAACTTGGCTATCTCAACTCAGAACTAATGCAAAGGTGGGACAGTCCCTTTAATCAACATTAAGCACCGATATTTATATTCTTATCGGTTGAGCAGCTTTTAGGAGAGGGAGAAAGAGAGTCACAGACAGAAAGGAAGAGAGAAAGAGAGAGAGAGAGAGAGAGAGAGAGAGAGAGAGAGAGAGAGAGAGAGAGAGAGAGAGAGAGAGAGAGAGAAAGAGGGGGGGAAGAAAGAAAGAGAGGGAGAAAGGCTTCCGGAACCGATTTCATTTGTTAAAATGACGATATTTGGTACTAACGTCGGTCGACTCTCTTCAAGTGAACGATTAATTTTACTTATACAGCCTCTTTAGAGATAGTTGAGGATGCCAAGGCCGCAAAGGTCGCAAAGTGTATTCCATTTTCAGAGGGCCTGTTAAATTCATTTATCATTATTCGATCACAGAGTCCAGTGGTGGTTCAGCAAGCAGTCCCGAATTCATATTCACCCGTAGATTTCACTGCAAGTAGACGTTTCCAAGCGGGGTAAACAGCGCTGTACGCCACATGATGAGATATGAATCCATGCGAGGTCACTCCTCCTGACCAGCCTAGTCTTCGCTCTGTTCCAGTGCTGCTCTGGCCGAGGTACTTCAATGGGAGACACCCGGCACCAGCCTGGAGGACGTCCTTCAGGCGGCAGCGGCCGGCGACTGTGACACCGCCTACCCGTGCTCGCACCGCTGCATAGGGGGGAAGGCAGGCTGACGGACTGCGCTCGGTCGCCATAGGGGGAAGGCTAGCTGAATGGCTGCAGAGTGCAGACAGACGACGGAAGTACGGTGACTGCAGGGGTGAGAACCGGCCATTGAGGCAAGGAGTTACTAGCAGCGACATCTTCTTCAAGCTCCACTCTGCCGCGACGGCAGAGACATCTCCACTAGTGAATCTCTGTGGGCCACGGACTGACTGACATGCACCTTATCGTAACCTGCCTGCAGTCTCTGCTGCTGTTGCCGCTGCTGCCCAAAGCGGTTCTGTGTGCGAGGTCGTCCGTGGTTACCCAGTCACCGCTGGCCCCGCTGGAGGGCGAGAGGCGTCCCTATGCTCCGGTCCCTCCGGCTGCCGTGGTCGTTGAGGACGCCGCCCTCTCTCGGGCCGCTCGCTCGGCGCCCTCCACCTCCTCTCGACCTCCGCTGGTCTACTTCCCCGACGGAGAGGAGAAGGAGTGTCAGGACGCCTCGGCAGGCTACGGCTTCAACGTGTTCAGCTTCCTCACATTTGTCCTGTCCGTCTACAACCTCGTCGGCATTCTATCCAACAACGTCAATAACAATAACAACGCCAACAATAATAACAACAACGACAATAATAACAACGACAACAATATAAACGTGGCCGACACGAACAACAATTTGAACCAAGACAACATGGTCAACATCATGCCGGCAGGACGTCGGAGGAGAAACGTCGAGGGCTCTCGGACCTTCACCATCGCAGGCGAGGACATGGCACATTTGATCGAAAATGACGATGCTGCCGTGGTCATTTTGGACTGGCTTTCTGCCCTGATGCCCCTAAACTCAGACCCGCTGTCTGCAGCTGTTACACTTGGACAGCTCGGGTCGGCCGTGCAATCTGAAACGAGACGGTAATTATATTTCAGCCAGCTGCTTTTGTCAAATGTGTCGACCAGCCAGCGGCCAATCTATTTTTAGCGATAAGTCCCTTTTGTCACAAATGTTGCAATGTCTCCAAAATCCGATTTAAAGCTGCTCACATATTATGCTATGTTATGTTATGTTTTGTTATGTTATAGGTCTTAGATAAATTCATTTTGTCAAAGGATGATGCAACTTTTTTAACGCCAAACAATGACATATTTTGACCAACATAAGAACATCGTATGCATTACAATCACTCACAACAAAACGTGAGCAGCGATACCGAAGCAATGGCTTTGAATTCAACGCTGATATTTACCCTAGATTTATCCACCATATGACATGCAGTACACGTACGTACCGTTTCCACGACAAATCTATCTTTCAATCGCTAAAATCAGCATGTTTTATTTTGCGTAACCTGTGATCAACGGTCATGCAGAGATCATTAAAAGTTTCTTTGCTGTATTCGTTTTTTGTGTGAGAATTGCAGCCGTTAGTCGCTTAAAAATAAGCCGATCTACATAGACTAGTAGAGCTAGTGAAAGCCGAAGGATGCAGGGAGAAATGGCAGCCATTTCACCGGTAAGTCGCGTTGAGGAATTATCAAATACCTCAGCTAGACTAAGGCTGAATAACGTCATATGGTAAAGCAACATTTACTCGAAACCAAGTTGCGTCACGAATAAAAAAAAAACTCGTATGGCAGGCCCATCTTGCCGTTTAACGACGGACTTTTTGACATCGGTTGCCGTTATCAAATCAAACTTAATTCGATTCAATCTCTTCCACCTCAGAATCAGTGCAAAGGAGTAAAATACAAACGTTCAACACATAACGGAGCATATAGGTATGCGACATCTTACAATCGGTGCAAAAAGGCCCCCTTTGCACGCATTTGGTCCCACACATCGGGTCGCATCACATTAATTTGGTATCGAGAGGACAAAACCTTTAGATGCTTCGCACATTCACCATCACAACTTCTTCATTCCCGTTCTTCATTTGATCAATCACAAGGAGATTGGCTCGGGTGGTTCACTGAAAGGTTCACGACAGAACGGGCACTGGGCCTGGCCCGCCGCAGCCGTCGTCAACACGCGCTGGAGGCAGTCGAGACACCCCAGCCCGTGCATGCACGGTAAGACCACGGCTCTGCGCACCAGTGAGCCCCAGGGACGGAGGCAAATCTGACATTCCACCTGAAACAAAACCAAACTGGATGCACTCTATAGGTAACCCCAGACAACAACGGTAGCCATAAAAGTGTCAAAGCCACGGCTCTACGTCATTGACAAAAGAGCAAAAGAAAGAGAAGCTTACAAAGGTAAATAAAAGCGTCACTGTAAAAAATTAATTTCGTCCGTGAATATTCTAGGCTGGATTTAAAGGCTCGGAAGCTAAACCCATAAATCCTACTTTACAGAACTCTCCTGCAATCAAAATCTGTCATGCATGACCAATTGTTTTTTTTTTTTGCCTGCAAGACAGACATGCTTATATCTATTGATTGAAACGCACCGACAGGATGTTTAGAGATGAGTCCGACTGAACTTTTTCCTGAGCTGGTTTAGATTCCTGCTGGACTTTTTCCTGAGCTGGCTTAGATTCCGGCTGGACTTTTTCCTGAGCTGGCTTAGATTCCGGCTGGACTTTTTCCTGATCTGGCTTAGATTCCGGCTGGACTTTTTCCTGATCTGGCTTAGATTCCGGCTGGACGGGCTCGGTCTGAGTCTGGGCGGACTCCGGCTCAGCCTCCGGCTGTCTGTCTTCACTTCGGGAAGGCTGCTCCTCACGTCTAGCGGTCGGCTCTTCCTGTTCGGACACACAAAGGAGATTGACGATCGGGAAGAATCAAAACATTCAGCAATGCTGTTCTGTTGGCGCTGCACTGAACTGGACTGTAAATTGTCTGTGGAAGTGGCATAACAGAGCTGGGGAATAGGTAGGAGGGAGTTGGTACAACTCCGTCTCCAATGAATAAAAGATTACAGCGCGGGATTCCCTTGCAAAGTCGCTATTTGAAATGAACTAAAAGCACTTGTACGGCACGGTTAAATGGGGTCATAATTAAGTATTATTTAATGATCTTGTTTTTTTTTTTTTGCTACGCACGTGGGACTGAGTACATCAATAATTTCACACATGGATGTGTCTTCAAAACAAATGAATGTTGGTAGCGACATGCAGTAGCATCGCGGTTCCGCTGACTGGACGGAATGGAGGTCTGTCGGCAGCAGTCGCAGCTCTCACTGACCTCGGTTGTAGTTCCGAGGTGTTCCAGCAGTGCTCTGAGCACTTCGTGCTCCACCTCGCCCCCCACCACGGCTCCGACAGACGCAGCCCCTGTGGGGACGGTGTGAAATGGGCTCTGAATTAAAAACTGGACGGTGATGACATTATGAGGATATGCGCTTTTGTGACACGTTTATCGTAAAGTAGGTATGTGCTTCGTCCATCAATTATCCTTTTTCAACCAGGCGATTTTTTATTGTGTACCTAGTCGTTGACAAAGAAAAGTTACCAAGTACAAACTTGAAAGTTTAGCTCGAATATTTATAAACTTCAGCTCTCCGGCAAATGGTTGCAAAAATAACTGCAACTATGTTCAGCAAAAAAAAAAAAATATATCTAAGGAACAGTAGGTACTAGGTACCTACTTAATGGGTTTCAAATTATGTCACTAGGCTCTTTGCTCAACCCTGGAGATAAGCTAAACCATTAATATAGCTTTTCAACATGATTTGATTAAAAGCTATAGCTTATAGGTTATCTCATACCTATCACTGGGTCACGGGAGCAGAAAACGCAGTCTAGTGTCGCCAGTTCCATCTCCGATACCATGCCCTTCCAGCCTCTCTGCTCCGGGAAATGAACGATAATCTCGCCTCCGCCGGGCAGTCCTGTATAGGTGTATATAGGAGAGAGAGAGAGAGAGAGAGAGAGAGAGAGAGAGAGAGAGAGAGAGAGAGAGAGAGAGAGAGAGAGAGAGAGACAGACAGACAGACAGAGAGACAGAGAGAGAGAGAGAGGGAGAGAGAGAGAGGGAGAGAGAGACAGAGAGAGAGAGAGAGAGAGAGAGAGAGAGAGAGAGAGAGAGAGAGAGAGAGAGAGAGAGAGAGAGAGAGAGAGAGAGAGAGAGAGAGAGAGAGAGAGAGAGAGAGAGAGAGAGAGAGAGAGAGAGAGAGAGAGAGAGAGAGAGAGAGAGAGAGAGAGAGAGAGAGAGAGAGAGAGAGAGAGAGAGAGAGAGAAGGAGGTAGATAGATAAAGATAGGAAAAAAACGTCACCGTCAGTCCACGACCGTTGAGGTACACTAAAGCACGGCCGTCAGATATGGGAGGCTGGCATCTGTTTAATTATTCCATTGAAACAAAATCGTCATACTGCATCGTGGCCATCATACTGCAGCGTGATTATAGTTATAGAGACAATAGAATATCAGTGATCTTACCACAGTCGCGGAAATCATAATTATAAGGGTCATTACACAGTTAGGTAGGTACCTACTTACTAAAGCTTACTCTAATTGCTTTGACCGCCGCGTGTGAGCACAAATTTGTACAAACATGTAGATTAGGTACAGACCTTCGCGCCACCTGCCGGCCGCTGGGGGGCATATAGTTGCCCCTTTACTTTTGCGACGATATCGTAGCAACGCGAAGGGATAGAGAACAAACCTTGCACACATCTTCCTGAATACCTAGCCGAGGTTGTGTCTAAATTTGGTGTCGATTTAATTTGAAATGACGTCACAGTGATTCAGAAGTCAAATTATACATTTGCGACTCTCAGTTTTCTCACGATATATCCGATATATGATACCGAATATAAAGGACCGATTATTGTCAGGAACTAGTTGGAAGTGTACTTAGAGTT